GCTATGCTGATTCCCAAAGACTACAGTAACTATTAATTTATTATGCAGAACTTCACATCACACAGACTAGCCCCCAAGCCTTCCTGTTTCTCAAGATTTTTACAACTTTCCAACAGAGCTTTCTTGGATAATTCCAGTGTACCATGGAAGGAGCCAGTATACCTAGTGAAGACACAAGCACCTTTTAAGAAACAGGGATGCCAAGATCCATTAGCCAAATTTTACTCCGTGCTTTCAGGCCTCTTTTGAAGTCATTGGCCTTTTAGGGGAAAATTTAGTTAAAAGCAAAAATATTTCTGTGAAGCCTCATTAACTAAAATCTAATCTAACCTGGCCCAGGTGGCAGCTACCCTGGTAAAGATCAGCCAGAGTTTTCTCTAAAACAAAGAGTCTTCCTCCATTTACTTTACATGAAAATTCAATAAAGCAGCAGCCAACCTGTGTTTTAAGGGCAAATGAAGCATGGTTTTATATCATATTTAAAGAAACAAAACTTGCTGTTCCAAAATACTTTCTTTTGTGCTTCAAACTGGGTAAATGTGGAGATATAGAAACCACTCCTGGTAAGCAGCAGCAGGAAGTGTTTCTCTGTGGCCATCTCTGACATGGAGCTCATCATGGATTAGTGATTGGTGTATTTGGGGACCCTGCTGGCCTAAAGCAGCACAACCACTGCTAACTGTGGCTCACCTAGGGTTGAACATTGGCACTAGTATGGTCTTTGCTGGTCACTGAGTGTTTTGAGTGGTCACATTTCCAGAGAGCCATTAGCACAATGGAGCAATACAAGGAAGGTCCTGATAGCGCTGCCAGCTGGTGATCAACTAAGATTGATCTCTATGTTCTGTCAGCTGACAACCCCAGGTTTTAAAACCCAATAATTTCCTGATCTCAAATCTAAATTAACTTAGTTGCAAGTAAACTGAAGTTGGAAGGCAAGATGCATCTGAGGTAATAGTGATGAGTTAGAATAGAAGAGAACAGAGATAAACTGGTAGAAATACCTGGCAACTAGGTCTATGTAGTTATCCCATTCCCTGCAGAGAAATAGCTTCATGGAAGCTGCACAGGCTCCTGCTGCTTAGGGAATCTGACTCCACCTCTGAGGAGTGGTGCACCCAGACCCTCTCTGTGGGCTCCCAGCATAATAGGTCCCATTGCACTTGTGGTCATCATTTTGTTACTTTGAATTTTTAAGCCTCCTGGAATTTAGAAAAGGAATTATTTGGATAATAAAACAAGAAACTTTGATTTCACCTAAAATGTAATCATAGTTCTTAGTTCAGCCCATCACCTCCAAGGCATTCAGAGTAGTTGCCCTTTCTCTCATATCATTTCATAGATACTTTTTTATAGAAGGGATTGACATATAGACACTGCTCAGCATCTGATCTTTGATACTGCTTGTATGGTTTAGTTTTCTTGCAGTCGTTGAAATTCTTCTGAGTAGAAGAGTATCTTTCAGAAAGCACCATATACCTTGGACAGGCTTCTTAGGACAAAGCTCAATCCGAGTTTTTCCCTTCCCTCTTCTCATGCATGTGTATGGCCGAGGTGGGCCACATGTGAGTATACATGTGTGTCTGTTTGAGATTTCCATTTTATATATTTTGACTTGGTACCAAGAGTAACATATTTCATTGCTAAAAGAAAAAAGAAAAATTCACCAAGTCTAACAATCACTGTTAACATTTTCCTTTCTATTTACAGTTTTTAATTGTCCTCTTTACATGGTTGAATTTGAACTATATATGTGTTTTAATATCAACATATTCTTTTATATGACTTTATCATGAGTCTTTTAAATAATCTCTTAGTGCTGGGCACAGATTTCTCCCTTAATTTCTTGCTGTTATTGTTTTCTTTGATGGTATTGGGGTTTGAGCAAGGCCTTGCACTTATGAGGCAGATAATCTACCACTTGAGCCCAATAATTAATATTGTGATGAACGTCTCTATAACTTCTTTTAGACCTGTTCCAATAAATTCCTTGAGCTAGGTTACAAGGAGTAACATTATTGGATGAAAGGGGCATAAATATTTTAAAGATACATGGAAGTTATATCATACCCAGTTTTTCCTTTTACACCACATCCTCTTCACTGGACTTTTCCTACCTGTGGCTGCCAATGAGTGGCTGAAATTTGTTCTCTTTTATCTTGGTGAGCCTCAAATCTGTTCCACTCTAATGACAGTTCCACTAAGTGATAGCTCTTTGTGCTATACTCACAAAGTGAAACTAAGAGTTTGCAGATCAATGACTGCAGCTTTAGATGGCCCATTGGAAGGTCTGGAACAGTGTGATTCGGCCTGACCAGAACTCTGACAAGGTCACCAACTATTTACTTCCTAAAGCACAAAAATGACTCACGTATTGCCATTACCTCTGTCTAGCCCCCCCATGCGAGAAACAGGGTCATCTTTTGTGCCTCCCTCCTTCTCCCTATCCATATCCTGATAGTGATTTCTCAGAAATAGCTCTTAAATCTCACTCTACCTTTCTGCCTCCACTACCTCTGCCTTATTCTAAACTCATATCACATTGCTTTGGACAATATTCCCATCTGCTTTATCCCATTACAACTTCCATGCTGTTATAGTCCTGAGTTCCCATCTGAAAAGCAAAACTAATAAAGCCCCTCCCCCTCTGCAGGAAAGGCTCTAAATTTCTCAGTTGTTCACAATCTATTTCCAGCCTTGTCGCCAACCACACCACACCACACAGAGTGCACACTGACACTTCTTGTTGTTCTTCCAACATGCCAAGCTATTGGACACATCACTTTCTGCTTGGAATGCCTTCTCTCCAGATTCTTCTTGTGTTCCTTTAATTCCTCAAGATGTAAAACTCAACCATCAAATCCTGGGAGCTTTCCAGTTCCCAAGCAGAGTTGGTTCATTGATCCTTCATGTTATCCAGCTCTATGCTTAGTTAACGTTAATAGTAGGAACTGAACCCCTGGGCCTGTCTCCATCACATTATGCAATCTTCGTGATCAGGGCCATGCCTGCCTTAGCATTGATGAGAAAAATTTGTTACATGTATGAATGTAGTGGCTATTTTTAACATCAACCTAACTGAAAGATAATTTTGACCATATGAACATTAGTAGTGATAATTAATTAAATATCTTAAGATATAATGTGTCTTTGTGAAGAGCCTAAGAAAATACAGACCAATGCTTGGCCTTGAGTTGAACCCCTTTTTAGAGTCCTCAGCCTTTCCTTCCACTGGAGAAAAGATGCAGAGAGAGTAATGGCTAAGATGGGATAAGGAGTTTTAACATTCTCTTTTCTAATTTCTTACACAGTAATATAGTTACTTAAATTTTACTCAGTGATGTTGGTCTATCATAGGAGCTATTGCAAGGTTTATGTAAAACGTAATCAGCACTGCTGCTTTATAAAGGAATGCTTCCTTTCCTGATGGATTGTCTACATAATACTCTAGATATCATGACCAAAACTAGTGTCCTCAGTGACATGATGGCTGAGCCAGATATGGCTCAGATGACTACCTGAATTAGGCTGAGTGTCTCTACTTAGCCAATTTAGCATGCACATTTTGGGTATGTTAGAGAAGTTGCCTCCCGTAAGGATTCCATGTTGGCAAAAACCTTGTGTGTGGGTTTGGTTTAAAAGCCTATAAGTGAGTTTTTAACCTAACAATTAGTTAGGCTAAAACTAACTAATTAGTGCACCAGAACACTTTGTGTGGAACATTTACAAATGTAGAGAAGTGCATTTTTAGTAGATGTTGAAAAATGTATTTCTGATTACAACTAGAACTTCCCATAATTAGTCAATGTCCTTTGTTGAGCCTTAAGCAACAGTAATGAGAGAAACAGAAGAAAAATATTGAGATTATGCATTTTAAACTTTGACCTAAATTTCTTCCTGTGCTCAGACATTCTGGGTTCTGTCCTGTGTCTGTTCAGTGGACACTGTCCCTACAAGAGCCTCCCAAGAACACGGAGGCGTGGGACTTCCTAAGGACGTTCCTTCCAGATTTAGAGTTTTGCATTTACTAGTGACAAATGATATGTAAGCCAGCTTTAGAACTTGAAAACAGAATTTCCTTGGATAAATAGGGTCATCCACTGGCCTGTCTGTGATGAGAAGGACCTTGTGCACCTCCACACTTTCGCCCCATCTCCACCTCAGTGCTGGAACTGTTTGTTGGTCACTTGGGCTCACTCAGGTCCAGTGCTTTTGAGCTCCAGAAGGAAAGTAAAGGCTGTGAAGTGTGATTACCAGTGAATAAATTAATAAAAGAAAGGAACTTTCAAGGAAAAGTTGATAGAAGGAAATGAGGATAGCAAGAGAGGATGTGGTGGGGAGGAGGTAGAATGTTTCAGGTGTAAGTTCTATGCAGTATGTATATATAAGTAACTCTTTAAAAACACTTTGTTCTCAAGAGCCATAATTTGCTGCAAAAAACAAATTGAAATGAACCTGATTTGGTTGTATCTGGAGTGGAAATGTGCATGTTAGGAAGAGAAATCCATGCAGCATTCTTGAAAAATGAAGGAAATAGTTCTTTCAGGGCTGCTTCCCCCAGAGGATCGTCAAGGAAACCTGCCAGTTCCTGTGATACTGCTATTGTCATTCTGTACCATTACCCTGTATCATTTACAAAAACAGTGACTAAAAGTAGCAGTTTCTCCAATCTGTCTCTGTAAATATACTCAACTGGACCTTTCTCTCTCTGTATCTCTTTCTAGATGGTAGTCTAGTAGCACTTGCCCCATGGGTAGCATTCCCAGCTGGTCATTTCAGTGACCACCTGTGTTAACTTATCTGGGCCTTGATCTGGCTCATGCCACAAGAAGAGTGTTCCTAGGAGAATGGCAGCAGGACTAAGGAAACAAGCAGATCACAAAATTCTGGAAATTCTAAAGCATAGTGTAATTGTACAAAACTGTTCCCTTAACTTCCTGAGTATAATAAAATACTGTGTTCTCACCTCAAGCAACCCCACCATGTGTTCTTTTCACTAGAAGACACAATTCCAAAGAAGGTGGTGTGTCACTTCAGTGGGAAGGCCTATGCCGACGAGGAGCGGTGGGACATTGACAGCTGCACACACTGCTACTGCCTGCAGGGCCAGACCCTCTGCTCAACCGTCAGCTGCCCCCCTCTACCCTGTGTCGAACCCATCAACGTGGAAGGAAGTTGCTGCCCAATGTGTCCAGGTATCTAAGCCACCATCCTTCCATTGTCAAGCTGTAATATTGATTTTAAGATAGAACTCAAACAGACCCAGAACTTGCTTACCCACCCACAAGTTCTCACCGCCCAAGTAGTGTCAGCCCATCTAAAACCCTCCAGCACAAAGACTCTGGAGTAATTTGGAAAAAAAAAGACTATCCAGGTGAGGGCTGATTTCTATGCCAGAATTGCTGTATTCTTCTGACTTGCATTCTCTAACCTTTAATGGCAGCATACCCATATGGATATAACCAATCTACTAATGACACCTGCCCTATCAGAGTGGCATAGTTTTGGTACATTGTTGGACCAGCCTAGGGAAAGGGGGGTTAAGACTGGACCCAGGAGGGAGTATGGTTAAGAGCTGTGCTGGGCACTGGTGGCCCACGCCTATAATCCTAGCTACTCCGGAGGCAGAGATCAGGAGGATCGTGGTTTGAAGCCAACCCTGGAAAATAAGTTCGGGAGACCCTATCTCAAAAATACCCATCACAAAAAAAAGGGCTGGTGGAGTGGCTCAAGGTGAAGGCCCTGAGTTCAAGCCCCAGTACCACCAACAAAAAAAAAAAAAAAAGAGCTGTTGTTATGTGAATGTATATGAGAGCCAAAATGGAAGACTCACATTTAAAGAATGCAGTTCTGGTTCATTCTTTTTTTCAGTTCACCAGTTCCAGCCTTGACCCCTACCATCACATGCAGCCTTCCCCCAAGCCTCCAGCTGAACTTTTCATCTCTTCCCACATGGAACATAATCACTTGGCACACTGCAGCTAACTAGTGTGAATCTCCTGCCTGTGTTTCCCTGCAGCCCAGTCTTCATGTCAGCTGTGTCACAGTCTCTTAGTTTCAAATCTAAGTCCTCCACAGCTGCCCAGTTGCTCCCCAAGGCCTTCTCTTAGTTTCTTTGCCTTTCTCCTGCCAAAACAGTTCCTTTATCCCCTGCCCCTAATCCCAAAAATGCAGGACCTGAGCCCTCCCCTGGACGGCCTCTGGGCACTGTTCCCAATCTGATCCTCTTCCCAGGCAGTGTGGACCACACAGGCTGAAGTGTGGGCTTACTCTGAGATCCCATCGAGGGCCTGAATTTGTCAGGACCCTTTCCATCTTCACCTGGGTTCTCCTGTTAGGTTAGAGAATCTTGGTCTATTTAGTACCAAATCCTGGGATTCATGCCAATTTTGAAACACATCTGTACTGTGCAATTAGAAAATGGGACAGTTAAAGGCAAAGTGTTTAATTGAGCTGTGTACATCTTAGATTTTTGTTTAGATCTTGTGCAGACTAGTCCCATTTGAGCACTTCTGAAAGTGTCCATTGATCCCCTAATAAGGACAATGTTAAATGCACAACAAATAGCTCTCACTTCAAGTCTTACTTGGCTAATAGCAACACTTGATTTAACTCTTTGCTCCTTCCCACCTAAAACCTTTTCCCCACTTGGCTTCCAGGTCACCAACTCTTTTGGCTTCCTCTTTTGTTCCTCATGTTCTCTGTTTCCTTTGCCAGTCCCTATTCACCTGACCACCCTCCAAAAGTTGGACCAAAACAAAAGTTTGTGTAATTAGCATGGCGAGAGCAGTTTCAGTATTTCAAAAGAGCATGGGAGACAGTGATTATACAACTCTAATACAAACCGTAAGTTCATAAATATTACTGAAAAGCAGAGTAGCCTTGGAAAGTTTCACAGAGAGAGGACTTAAGCTAGACCTTGGAGGACAGGTGTGGAGTAAAGGGGATATTCTGACCCAGAGTGGGTAGAAGTAAAGAAATTGACCCCTAAAGCAGTTCCAGTAGCAGGAGGTAAGGACGGGACAGGGAATCAGAGGCCTAGATTTTTAGGGCCTTGATTATCAAATGAAGAGTGTAAACTTTGTAGAAGTGGGGAGGCTTATTTTGAAGCAGTTCTGTGACATGAATGAAAGGTCTTGCAGGTGAGGGAGACTAACAGGAATGTGTAAGAGGGATGGAAGTGTAAGAGAAGCCAAAGCCATGACCACTGACACACACTGTAGGTGTGCCATGAGTGTGATAAGGGCCCAAATGCAGGTGGTGTGGGAATAGAACTACAAAGACATTTCCTTTGGTTTCTGGGTTTGTAAGGTGAGTGTAAATTCAAGTAACATCCTTGTTCATCACTCAAGATTCCTCCTGTGACTTCTCAGGGTTTATTGTTGGGCTAAGATTTAATTTCTGCCGTACTGTTGAAGAAGCACTTCTCCATCTAACTGCTGCACAAAACACCGTGGTCAGTAGAGCTTTCACCCCCTTGTACCTGAAGGCAGGCTGGATCTGGTCCTGTTCTCATTGGCTCACTGTGTGACCTCAGTCAAGGCTGTTCACCAAAGCTTCAGGCTTCCCAATTCTCTTCTAGACAGCACCTGTCACATCCCAGAAGTGCTGAGGATGAAATGATTGTAATGGGTACCACCCAGCTTCTCCAGCAAACAGGAACCTCGCTTTGTCCTCAGCTATAGGATACACATTCTGAATAGGTCCCCCTTTCCATCTGCCATCTTTAAATGTGAGAACAAATTCTGTTGACTGGCTAGGTGGCTAATCCCTGTTCCGTTTTACAGAAGACACTGAGGCTCAATAAATTTAAGTCAGATTACCCCAAGTCATGCAGCTAATGGGAGAGCTGGGACTCCAGATCCTAAGTTGATGTCAGGTGCCACCTCCCAAAAAAGTGGTGCCTGCAGCTTGTGAGCCTCACATAACCTGCCCCATATTCTAGAAAAGGTATTTTAAGGAAACTGACTCTTACAACTGACCAGGTGCTTCTGAAATACTTCGCCTGTAAGCTGTCTTGAGTTCCTCCAAAGTTAGATCCCATGTGACTGCAGTAGTCATTGTTAATTGTGACTCCATGGCCATGATCTCTGATGGCCTTGCTTGAAGTAGTTTTATGGCAGCCTCCTGGTTGTGTCTGCCTGCAATATGAATAGCCAACAAGGGCACATTTGGCGAATGCCATAGGATTCTACTTTATAGAATCTGGGATTAAATGCAGTCTTCCACCATGGAAGGCCTGGGCCTAGACATGATAACAAATAGCATTTCTTCTCCTCCAAGCAGCATTTTGCTGATAGATTTTGTTTGTTGTTTCTTGTTTGTTAAAACTGTTCAGAAGCAGCTTCCCTCAAGTTCAAATTAAAGGGAAATTTTCCTTTCCCTCTGGATTTGAGAGCTCTGAACTGAAGCTATCAGTATTTTGTGAGAAAGAAGGAGGTGTGGGTGGATTTTCATCAAACCTTAACTGAGTTTAGTGGCACAAACCGTGAGCTGTTGGAAGGTGAGGAGTGTCAGGTGGTAGTCAAGTGAGAGGGCCAGGACTGATCTTGCTTACAGTTGTCCTCCCAATACGTAGACCAGTGCCTGACATGTAGAAAGCACTCAGGAAGCATTTGTTGAACAAACAATGGTGTAATTAATCACTGATTCTTAAAAAGACATCCTCCTTCACTCTGAGACAGATCCTTCTAACTTAGCTTGCCAAGTAGAGCCTTTCTGAGCACCCATAAGAAGAGAATTCATCCTGTCAGGTATCTGTTGTTGGCTGGATTTCACCTAAAATCTCCCCATAGGCAAGTATGTTGGAGCCCAACCTTCTCCACTGCTGTAACCCAAGAAAAAACCTGAGCTGGAACTAAGTTTATCCTAGCTCTGGGACCTCACAAATGTTACATTCACAGACTGGGTGGAATGGATCTTCATTTCCCATCCCAGTGAGCTCTCAGAGGCCAACTATAATCGCTCCTGAAGGCCTTATAAGTAAGAAAGCAGAAGACTAGGTGATTGGCTAAAGTGACTTTATTCTTAAGCAGCAAGAAAAACTGGGCTTTGGAATCACAAAATTGCATTGGAATCCTTGCTCTGCCAGTTACTAGATGCATAATCTTAAGCAGTTTTCTTACCTTCTCTGAGTTTATGTCCCTGGCTGTGTGCTTGGTTAGCTCACAGTGGAAACTTAGCCAGTCCCCTCTTCTGTATCACTTGTCCCTCCCTCAAATCCATCTTCAAGCTCTTCTTGAAAGCCTAATAATTTGGGACAGAAAATGATCGCTCTAAGCAGAGATTATTAATCCTGTTTTAATGTATATTCTATGCATTTTATTTTGGTTTTGGTCTTTAGGCTATAGTGAGTATATGGGATTGTCAATGTTAAGAGACCTCTTTTTAAAAACATCAGTTAATAAGATGGCAGGGACTGGCCAAGAAGTATTTGGGTGTCACATTTATTAAAAATAGAGACCCTAAGAATTATCTATTTTCTTAAAAGTGTTGGGCTAATTGGCAGCTAGATGAAGTATAGATATAAAAACATACTGTTAATTGCTGAGAAAAGCTCTGAACTTTTTCTCTGGTCCTTCTTAGAACTTGCCTTCAAAGAAACCCTGATATTTGGAATACATAATATTATTAGGCAGTTTTATTTCATGTCATATGTTATTGATCAGAATGCCTATATGATCAAGCTAGATACTGTAAATATAACTACTGAAGACCAGTTTCCAATCTAAATAGTTCCACTGATAATATAATGGACATCTGAGACAACTCAGGCAGCAGTTCAGGAGGTCTACCTTCATCCATTCCTGTTAAGGGATAAGAGTGGAGGGGAGAGGGAAATGGCCAAGAGGTATATAAAGGGTGGATGATGCTTTAATGTTTGCAAATTCTGCTGATGTCTTATATAAGTGATCCAACATTCATGGTTAAAAAGCAACAGTTATTAAAGCACAATATTTAGCTGATGCAGAGTAACAGAAACCATTCCAATCCTCAATTTATACCAAACTATAAAGCCAACACCATTTGACATGAAAACATCTAGCAGAATAGAAGACTCTCTATTCTTTTAAATGTTATAGGAAATGTTTCCCACCATTACAGAGTTAGTGATTCTCTAGCATTAATGATATAAATGTAAAAGTGGACTTTTCATGTCTCAGGGAATATGGTATTGAATTGAATGCTCTACTTGGATTAAAGATATAAAATCCAATAACAAGGTGGTTTCTCCATCATCTCTTACGGAAAATGCTTCTTTCTTTTAGAAATGTATGTCCCAGAACCAACCAATATACCCATTGAGAAGAAAAATTATCATGGTGAGATTGACCTGGAGGTTCCCATATGGCCCACCCCAAGTGAAAATGATATCATCCATCTCCCTAGAGGTAAGCATCCAAGTCAACTTGACATCTGTTTAGTCTTCTCTATGGTCTAGTTTGTTTTGTCCTAATTTTTTTAATTTCCTATATTTTTAAATGGCTTGCCCAAGTAAGTTCAAGCAACTACTCCAGGGGAGACCTACTTGGCTGTGAAACATATTAAACACCAAACATTGATACAACAAATCTGCAGGTAATTGGTTAAATCTCTCCTTCCTAGCCCTACATGCCCAGAGGCTTGGTTATGATAGAAAGAAATATGTTCCTAGTCCTAAGAGTCTGGGATAAAATTTCTAAACCATCTTTCAAAATTACATGTGTGAATAAGCATGTAAACAGATTTTGTACTAAGTATTTCTGCATCTCTTGAGTAGCTTTCACTTTGAGTTTTCCAAATGCCAAGTTTATTCCATACCATTTTTTCATGCTCTGTCATTTCAATTGTGTATAATTAAGAGGTTGGATTGTTTCTCAGTAGCTAAGAGGTAAAAGCATGACCTTCTCTAAAAAGGAAATTACTTTAAACTTGTTCTGAGCCATGACTTAATACTGCCTCCTGTTGACTCCTAACACATTTTTAAAATCATTGCTGTATAATTTTTATATTTCTTTTGGAAGAAGCAGTATTCATTGCTTGAGAGATTAATGATCTGTTACTTTAGATATTCTAAATGTTATGCTTGGATCTAGCCAGATGACCAGAGAGCCAAATTCCTGGACCCAGAGTTTTGGCTCCTTGTGTAATTGCTCTGACTGAATGTGCTCTAGCATTTTGCTTACATTCATTCAGTCGGTAAATACCAGTGCCTGATGTTTGCCCAGCACTGTTTGATGTGCTGAGCTTTGGTCATGAGAATAGCCTTATTTAATGTAGTAGGTCGGACCTGTGCATTACATGTTAAAAGTCCCAGAAGATAAATTTCCTTTGTGTCAGTAGCGAGAAAATATATACTTCTCCTAGGCAACTGATTTGCCTTAAACTGAAAGACATTGTGAATCTTATTCATGGCATTTGTTCCATTTTTCCTTTGGCTGCTAGAAAGCTCAAAGCCAACTTTTATGGCTTTCTTTTAGCATCACTACAGAACTGAAAGACTAAATTTGTAAACAGCCCTCAGGTGAGGCTTCATTTTCCTCTCACCAAGACTCTTCCTTAATTTACTTAATATTCTTGTGTGACACATCCTCCTCAAACCACTCCCAGAATCATTTGGAGTCTGGGAAGCTAAGGAGTCATTCCTGTGTTCACTATGTACTTGAAACCTAAATTTACCAATTAAATGTTACTCTCCTCCTCGGCATTCTTCTTGATGCTGATAAATATTCTCCTGTTTCCTTTCCTATAAAGTATTACCGTCTGTGCGGCCAAAATGAGTGGGAGTGTTTGCTCCCCTCCCTCGCCCACAGAAGCACGCCAGCAAAAATGTATGGTTTTAAGCCGCGGTCTTTAATACCACAAAGCTGTGTTTCTTCATGAGCTGAGTTTCCAGAACAATTTAAAAGCAACTCCTTTTGATTGTATGTACCCTGTATCTCTCACTAAGTTGAACTTCAATGCATTTAGAAAACCTTAGACTGGTTTATTTGAGACAAAAGAAAAATGAAACTTCATGGAGTGCCCATTAACTTTATCTCTGTCTGCAATATTCATTGTAAGATTGGTATTTTAGCTTGGCACAGTAGCTCATGCCTGTAAACCTAGTTATTTGGGAGGCTGAGATTGGGAGGATCACAATTGAAGGCCAGACTGAGCAAGTAGTTGCTAAGACCCCATCTCCAAAATAATTACAGCAAAGTGGACTGGAGGTAGGGCTCAAGCTATAGAACACCTGCTTTATGAGTACCTGCTTTGCATGATAAAAGCGAGAGCACACAAGGGAGGGGTGAGGATAGGTAAGACACCTAAAGTATTAGCTAGCATTTGTTGCCCTTAACGCAGAGAAACTAAAGCAGATACCTTAAAAGCAACTGAGGCCAATAGGAAAAGGGGACCAGGAACTAGAGAAAAGGTTAGATCAAAAAGAATTAACCTAGAAGGTAACACACATGCCCAGGAAATTAATGTGAGTCAACTCCCTGTATAGCTATCCTTATCTCAACCAGCAAAAACCCTTGTTCCTTCCTATTATTGCTTATACTCTCTCTTCAACAAAATTAGAAATAAGGGCAAAATAGTTTCTGCTGGGTATTGAGGGGGTGGGGGGGAGGGGGCAGAGTGGGTGGTAAGGGAGGGGGTGGGGGCAGGGGGGAGAAATGACCCAAGCCTTGTATGCACATATGAATAATAAAACAATAAAAAAAAATGAGTACCTGCTTTGTAAGTTCAAAGCCCTGAGTTCAAACCCCAATCCACACACACACACACACACACACACACACACCCCACCCCACCCCCCTCTTGCGCAGTATAATTAATCAAGGCAGGGAAATACAGACCTAGTGAGTTTTTCAACAAATTTATGAAAAGTAAGGCATTTTTGCCTAGAGTGCAGCAAAAGACCAAAGACGAAGCTCCTAATTCTAGTTTAGCTTTTGGTCCAGTTAATCTTAGCAGTTACACCAGAAGTAGAAGATACTTTGTCTTAGTCTCCTATTTGCCAGTGAGCAGGGAGCTAATGTTTCTGCTTCATAATCCTAAACCATGCATGTTAATTGTAATAAAAATATTTTTAATATTTGTTACAAAATGTTTTAGTCAAATCTTGAGTCTTACCCAGCATTTTATTATCTTCCTGACTGAATAGTAACTTTTCACCCTGATTTTTTTTTTTCCCTTCTTTATCTATCACTAAGCACCTTACTCTCTAAGAACTCTTTTGGGTCAAAATTAGATTTGAATCACATTTTTAGCCCAAAGTACTGGAAAGCAGTAAAGTCACTTTGCTGATCTCTATTTGCAGTACAATTTAAATAATCCTTAAGAATTATTTAAGGAATGCTTTTAATTTTTCTCTCCTAGATATGGGTCACCTCCAGGTAGACTACAGAGATAATAACAGGCTGCATCCAAGCAAAGATTCTTCACTGGACTCCATTGTCTCAGTCGTGGTTCCCATAATAATCTGCCTCTCCATCGTAATAGTATTCCTGTTCATCAACCAGAAGAAGCAGTGGATACCACTGCTGTGCTGGTATCGAACACCAACTAAGGTACAGTCTTGAATGATGAAACTAGAAAAGCTTACACTCTTCTATTTCCATAATTTCTTAATACCTTTTATATTAACCAACAAGTAGCCTTAAATGTGCATATCAGGCTATAGCAATCATATATATAGTGCTTGTCCTGGGCTGGGTTAATGACTGCATGAATTATCTATCATCCACTGGTTAATGAATCCTGATCTCATGGACCCATCTTCCTGGAGGTAGAGTTTTAAGATGATCAAATACCTCTGTATTGATTCCTAAATCATTGTTTGTAAGTAGAAATACAAACTTGATCCCCTGGTATTTCTCAGCCATCTATCAACTTAGAATTGGGAGAGAAAAGTCACCACAAAGGGTCGGAAAGAATACTCAGGAGAGGGCAAGTAGAGAGCTGGAATAAGGATGTACAAACGCCCAAAGAATAGGTAGATGTGTCAAAGGCAAGCAGGGGGAAGAGGGAGCACAAAATGAAAAGACTGAGACAGCACTTGACAAGTGGAAAGGCAGACTTATTACCAAGGGAGAAAAGGAATATGAATTCATTTTAATACAGAGGGCCTGTTTAATTTGCCTATTTTAAAAGGAAAGAAAGGTATTAAAAGGAAATACATCATAATTTCTGACTATAATTCTCTTTCATATTGGCTTTTGTGTAATTATACAACCTTGAGAATTAGCAACATTCTGAATAAATATTTAATCCAACTTACCACGTAGTTAACCCTCAACACATAAAATTTTTAGCACGTGGCTAACCTGCCTCTGATTTCGACAAGTGTGCATGGGGCATAGCCTCTGCATGTGGCTGGGTCAGGAAACAGTACTGAGCAGGACACAGTACCTGCTACCCAAAGCTGGGAAAACAAGTCTTAAAAAGCATGTGGTGACAAGGTACGGAGAGGCTGGCCCAACTTCTGAATTGTTTTCTTAGTCACCACCAGTGTAGCAGAGTTGGAATTAGAGTAAGAAGTAGCACCCCATGTTCATTCTGGCCAATAGCATATCATACGATTGCTTCATCTGAATTAGGGCCTAGATTTCAATTCTCTTACGGATATGAAAAGCAGCTAATTTTTTGTGGATTTCTTCCCTTCTCACTAAATAGCCTTCTTCCTTGAGTAATCAGCTGGTATCTGTGGACTGCAAGAAAGGAACCCGAATCCAGGTGGATGGTTCCCAGAGAATGCTAAGAATTGCTGAACCAGATGCAAGATTCAGTGGCTTCTACAGCATGCAAAAACAGAACCATCTACAGGCAGACAATTTCTACCAAACAGTGTGAAGACAGGCAACATGAATGAGGTCATAAAGACAGGAAACGACTAAATCTGCTCTTAAACGTAAACTAGAATTTGTGCACTTGCTTAGTGGATTGTATTGGATTGTGACTTGCTGTACAGCGCTAAGAACTCACTGGGATGGGCTGTGTCTACAGCAGTGTGCAGAACAAGCATTCCCACTTTTCCTCAAGATAACTGACCACGTGTTTTCTCAGAACCAAAGGTTTTAAAGTTGCTATGGTATATTTGCTTGTAATATAGCTGTAGAGATGTTTTCGGGTGGGGACAGTGAATTTGGTTGGGGGAAATGGGAGGGAGGGTGGAGTTGGGAAGAAAATTTGGTCAGCTTGGCTCGGGGAAAAAATCCAGTAAAATAAAAGCAGTTCATGGCACAGAGGATGTTTTTCCTATTGCTCTGAAGACTGCACTGGTTGCTACAAAGCTTGGGTCTGAATGAGCAGGAAACAAAAAGGCCTTGCGATCCAGCTGCTGTAACCACCTTAGAACCACCAGACGAGCGCATCAGAACTTTTGATAGCCATCCCAGGTCTAAAGCCACAGGTTTCTTTTCTATATAGTCACAACTGCACAGGCAGTGAGAAAGCCAGGGAAATGCAGTAGCAGCATTTCTCTAAAGCGGGTTATTAAGAATATATACAGTTACACTTTTTTGCTGCTTTTGTTTTCTTCCAAGCCAGTCATCCAGTTCCTAGCAGAGACAGCAAATGAACAAGAGCTAAGTCATTTCTTAATGCGAGCACTGGAGCTTTTCTTACACCGTGGCAGGCGGGAGGGAGAAGGGGAAGGACCCCAGGCATTTCCAGGGGCTATGTCTCATGTTTGTTATTTTGTTGTTGAATTGTTGGTTGTTCATAGTTTTTGTTGAAGCTCTAGCTTAAGAAGAAACTTTTTTTAAAAAAAGACTGGGGATTTTTTTTCCTTATTATATACTGATTCTACAGAATAGAAACTACTTCATTTTAATTGTGTATTATTCAAGCACCTTTGTTGAAGCTCAAAAAAATTATGCCTCTTTAAACTTTAGCAACAATAGGAATATTTATGTAACTATCTTATGCTTCAAAAAACAAAAGTATTTGTGTGCATGTGTGTATAATATATATGTATATATTATATCCACATGCAATTTATGTTTTCCTGTTGAATGTATTTTTATGATATTTTAACCAGAACAAAGGCAGATAAACAAGATAAACAGGCATTCCATATCAATGCTTTTGATCATTTACAGATATTTTGAATAACACAAAATCTCATTCTACCTGCAGTTTAATTGGAAAGGGGTGAGTGTGTGTGTGTGTGTGTGTGTGTGTGTGTGTGTGTGTGTGTGTGTGTGCGTGCATGCACACACGCATGCACCGTGAGCAGCCAGCATTGCACCTGCTATGGAGAGGATATTCCTTTATTAAAATCTTCTTCCTCACTTGGATTTGCTTTCAGTTGGTTTTCAATTTGCTCACAGGCCAGAGACATTGATGGTAGTTTTTATCTGCATCACTAATCAGCTCCTGGATTTTTTTTTTTTTTTCAAACAATTGTTTGAAACAACTACTGGAATATTGTCCACAATAAGCTGGAAGTTTGTTGTAGTTTGCCTCAAATATAACTGACTGTATACTATAGTGTTAACTTTTCAAACAGCTCTTAGCACTTTTATACTAATGACCCATTTGTGCATTGATTTTTCTTTTAAAAATGCTTGTTGTGAAAGACACAGATACCCAGTATGCTTAATGTGAAAAGAAAATGTGTTCTGTTTTGTAAAGGAACTTTCAAGTATTGTTGTAAATACTTGGACAGAGGTTGCTGAACTTTAAAAAAAATTAATTTATTATTATAATGACCTAATTTATTAATCTGAAGATTAACCATTTTTTGTCTTAGAATATCAAAAAGAAAAAAGAAAAAGGTGTTCTAGCTGTTTGCATCAAAGGAAAAAAAAGATTTATTATCAAGGGGCAATATTTTTATCTATTTCCAAAATAAATTTGTTGATATAATGTTATCAAAATAGATTTACATCAGCCTGATTAGTATAAAATTTTGTTGACAATTAATCCATTCCTGGCATAAAAAGTCTTTATCAAAAAAATTGTAAATGCTTGCTTTTTGTTTTTACAATCATGGCCATATGAAAATACGAACAGGATATAGGACAACGTGTAAATTTTTGTTATTATTTTAAAGATATGATTTATCCTGAGTGCTGTATCTATTACTCTTTTACTTTGGTTCCTGTTGTGCTCTTGTAAAAGAAAAACAAATATAATTTCCTGAAGAATAAAACAGATATATGGCACTTGGAGTGCACCATAGTTCTATAGTTTGTTTTTGTTTTCTTCAAAAAGGCAAAGCTGTCAGGGCATAGTTTGCAACTTAGTTCTTGACAGCGAATAAACACCTGGGTTAAATCCACACACTTCTGAAAAGACTTCTTATCTGCATCAGAAAAACAAAAGGTCTTTTCAAGGTTGCCAGTCAATTCACCTCTGCCAAACACAAGTCTCATCTCTCTCAGTATGTGGTCCTTTTTCAAAGACTCCTCACAAACATGGTGCCAAGAGTATACTGCAGAAGTGCTATTCCTAGGGAGACAACAAACCTACTTGCCATCAGTCACAAGTCAGAAATGTATTCATCATTGGTACAGGTTAAGTATCCCTTATCCAGAATGCTTGGGACCAGACATTGGATTTCTTCAGATTTTGGAAAATCTGCATATACATAATTAGCTACATTGAGGTTTGGACCCAAGTCTAAAAACAAAATTCATTTATGTTTCCTACACACATACCCTGGTGGTAATTTATACAATATTGTTTGTGCACTTGCCTGTTGATGACCCATCACATGAGGTCAGCTGTGGAATTTGCCATTTGTGGCGTCATATTGGTCAGCTGTGGAATTTGCCAATCATATTGGTACTCAAGAACTTTTGAATTTTGAATCATTTTAGATTCCAGATCAGAGATGCCTACCTTTACCAAAACTAACTCAATGTGCAAAAGGGTTGTGGTAGGGAATCCTACAGCAGCTTACTGTAAAGAACAAAGCTAATCAAACAAAATCATGAAATCTAATTAAAAGTGGACTTTGAGCTGATAGGAAATAGTAGGTAAAATTTTCATATAATTCAAAAGCATCAACTGTAGAATGAGCTATAAACAAACCATTGTTGAAACCTTCAAAAAACAGATGCCCATGGTCTTTACTATGTTGTGTATCCTTTAAAGCTACATTTCTTTAGTGTAAGGTATAGTTTTTACAAGTTCAGATGAAAATAAATTATAAATATTACTGTGTTAAGTATGCATCTTCATCAGTTCAAGGGAAAGTGGTAAGTTCCATATATTCGCTATCAAAGAAGACTAATAAAACAAGAAAACAATCTCAGATTCCACATACCCTTAGAGACAGCTGAAAAGCCAAGCTGGCATCAAACCTGAGCTAACACTTCTGCAGTCAAAGCATCTCAGTTATTAAACAGTAAAGAGTATGGGCAGCCCAAATGCTCACAGATCTGAAGTGGAAATTTAAAAGCCCCCTGATGGCAGGTCTCACAGAGGCTCTCATGTCCCAGAGACAGCTTCCCTAACTCCGACTCTCACAAGCCCAGCAAAATAGCCATACCACTATGTTTCCACAGCAGCTTGGCATGGTCTAGAAAAGTCCCTCTACCAGCTTTAGCATCCTGGGATTGCTAATCAGGGGTTCACCAGCTCACACAATGTAGTGGTAGATTCTGCACCAAAATAAGTAAAAGAATCCAGCATGGCAAGAAGAAAACAAAGTACAACAAAAACTTGTGGCTCTTAAGAATATATTATTTTTACATTTATTAAATGCCATCAACTTGACTGAAATTGGCAAGTGTTCGTGATTACTGTTATATCCATGAGTAGCTGCTTCTAGATTTAGTACACTAGGAAAACACAGGCATGATAAACAGAACACAATCGTGGAAAATGGGCAGCACAGTTCTAAGCACCTTAAAGGATACAGACTCCTTTCAAAGTATACTTTTTCTTCACAGACACATGAAAGAGACGTTTACACATTTACAGGTAATACAACATTCTGAAAGTGGCAATCAAATGTTTAAAGTATGAACAATGAAACAAGCAACATGCTACAAAATCAGTGTGTCACAATGTTCACTATTTAGCCAACACTGCATTTTGCAGTGTTGCTGTTTCAAAACAACCCACCTTTGTTAAGTTTCAGTTTGGAAAATACTGGTAGGTAATATTTATACTGACAGTTCTCATAAAAAATCAGTGTTGGTTCTTGCCATCACTGAAGAATGGCTATCGTATAAATCCCCAGTGCTTTAATAAAGTTCTTCAGTGCAGGTTAGATGTAGAAAGCCACAAAAACTCCAATGGGCATACTGTCATTTAATGAAAAGTGTAACTGCACAATTGATATTACTCTTCCTTGTCCTACCAATTTAGAGAGCATAAGAGTTAGATGTTCCAAAACCCCTCTCTTGAATTCTAAAGAGTGCCATAGTTCCCTTGCTTTTAAAATATAAGGAATTAGTAAAGTCATGACCTGTTAATACTGAATCACAAACCCAAGTTCAAGTGTGCTGGGTTTCCAATAGCAGGAAGGTTGTGGTAGCCAGTTTTCAGAATAATGCTATAGGAGATCAGGCTCACAGTCCATGGAAAGTAAAGCTGCTCCTGATGTAACGCTGCTCTATGTAGGACACAGAACTAGAAGAAAGTGAAAACTTTTAGGTAGAAATGTATCCTCTATACATTTGCACCAAATACATATACACATTATGTATTTATCTTACATGTATATAAAAAGCACCATTATGTAACAAAGACCAAATATTAATGCAAGGATCTGTAAGAACAAAAGACTTGAAGAGACTACATATCCAGCAATGAGATGTTCCCTCAAGACACATTAATTAGTATTTCTCAGAAATGAGACAACAGAAGCCCCCAGGTCTCTTAGGGTACCACTTTAGAAATGTAATTAAGCCCATAACCTTGCCCTATACCATGAGGCTTGTAACACAGCAATAGCACAGCTCCCTGGTGAAGTCAAAGGACATGAGATTCTATGCATATTTTCATCCCTATCTGGGATGAGCACAGCAGCAGCCAAACCTACACACTGGCCTTTGGTGCTGTAGCTGAAGGGAGGGACTGGCGGCAGGTGTGGGAAGGAGAAGCTGAATTAGCCCACGTAGCACCCACCCTGTCTCTTTAGGCCAAGTAAGTCCACTTCACCTTCTTTCACTTCTGACTTTTACATCAGAACAAAGATGGTATATAGGCAGCCAAGCCATACTCTGTGTTAAAGCAACAAGTCAAAAAGGGGAACGAGCATCTCCCTTGAGAATAGCTCCTCCCAGTCAGTGTCCAGTTACTTGTCCCCAAAGAGGATAGTTGACAGGCTGTGAATTTCCAGGACAGGTGGAAAAGAACATTTTAAATTCCCCCATACAGCACCTTCCCCACACTGGAACCTCTGTGCTACACCGCCCTCTTCATTTTGGGACTGCAGAGTCACCACTAGAGTCAGTCCTAGCTTCTTTTCACCCAATCCTTACAACACAGAATGGAGACAAAAGCACAGCTCAAGCACACCAACAGCTCAACAGAAGCAGGTGTGGTATGGACAGAACTGGGCTTACAGACAGGAGTCAGCAGCCTGAGCATGAGAAGCAGAACTTGGAAGGTACTGCCTCCCTAAGGCATGCAGCATGGATTCATGATTACAGTCCTATATTTTCAGAGCAAAGAATTAAAAACTGTACCCCCAGGCAGAGTACCCCCCAGAGTACTCTGCTTCATGGGTCATAATGCCCTTCCATTTAAGCAAATGCTAAGATAGATAGAAAATGCTTCCAAAGTACTCTCTCTGGCCCTCATGGCAGTGCCCTTAGGGACCCACTCTAATTAAAAATTAAGATATGTTCTTCATGTTCATCTCATTCCTGTTTCACATCTAGAAGAATAAACCTCAGAACAATCCAGTTTTCATACCAATGCTAGCACAACACAAAAGCAATCAAAGATATCAGGTGTTAAAAACAGAACTTAATAGGGGAAAAAAAGTCATCCATCAGAAAAACAGTGTATTTAAGTGATGTCAATTCAGTCTTTTCTATCTCATGTAAACTCCCTCACTAATGACTTACTCCTGTTTGCCCATCCACAGCAAGTCTCTCACCAGTGATATTTACACATCATTCACTTTGAGCCCCTTCCCTTTCATAAAGCTACAGTTAAAGAAAGGGCCCACTGAGATATGGAAAGTCTCAGAAATCCTACCCTTCCTTTGGCTCAGCTAACTCATGGAAGGAAAGTTGCTAGAAAAGCATCTCTCTCCACTTCCCATCAAATGCTACAAGATGCATATTGTGATGCTTTCAAAATCTTCTCTGTGAATAACTTTTTTTAAAAAGTAATTTCATTGAAAGTATTTGTTTTCCCTTATCTGAATAGTTCTTCAGTCCCCTCTTTACCATACAAATTTTTTGTTCCTTTCTCAGCAAAGTAATCCCCTTAACTTCTTGATTTTCTTTTGCCTCATCAATATTCCTAACCCATGTGGTCTTATTCCTATTGCTAAGGTTCATGGCTCCTTTTTCACTGTCCTGAGTTAACAAAAGTCATTCTTTTTATTTTACCCCTCTCCTCTCTGCCCACCACACCAACGCCTTTTGCGTTCCCCTTGGCACTGTTAACTGGTTTGATTGTTTTATCCTTCATCCAGCCTCACTGATCGGTACTTCCCTTTATATGGTCTCCCTGATGACAGAGACTACCTTTCTCAAGTCTCCCAAGGTCAGTATGTCCATATTGATACCCACATAATTATGGCAATGTCTTATTAATTTTCCTCAATTGCCTCCCTCAATGTTTACAGTTCAGCTGAGGACATTATTTCCAGCCAAGGATCTCAAATTAAAGTTTTATTTAGCCGTAATGTTGAGTATCATATGTCAACCACATATCTATCCTCGCTCTGCATTAAAATTAATAAAACTGTGTGTTCCTGTTATTTTAATCTATTAGAAGATAATGAATTTACTCACTAATCAAAACTTCCCAACTGCACACATGCCATTGATAAAACTCACCTTTCAGTATATAGTCAGTTAATAAGCTTGGAACTTTTTCACTGTCCTCCTTCATGGCACAAAGAACTGCAAAATAAAGGGGGAAAAGGCAACAATTTGAAATTCAAATCAAAAGCAATATTTTATTTCAAATATCATACCATTAATCTTTAATAATATAACATAACTGATTCATATAAATTAAAAGATTATTTTCTGGATAAGGGAATGTACTAAACACTCAGAATTTTGAGCTGAGTGAGTCCTAAGAGTTATTTCCTTGATTTAGCATCTCCAAACACTGGATCCAAGAGAGGAACTGGACTAATTAAACAGAACCTTTGCTGTGTCATAATAAATGTGGCAAAGTTCATCACTGTAATATGCACTCTGATGAGCTCTGAGTGCGGAGGACTTAGTGCTGCCAATCTCACAAACTGGAGAAACTCCTGGATAAACAGAAAGGTAGCTACACTCTCCAAGGAGCTCATCTACCAAACTTCTTGGAAACTTTTAGAAAAGACCAAAGGACTTCCATGAAGCAGACCCAGCATCGGCCAGGCTCCCTATTCCATCTTTATTGGGTGAGAACCTGGGGGAAGAAGACTCATCCAAAAGGGAACCTTTTGACTCTCTCTCTCTCTCTCTCTCTCTCTCTCTGTGTGTTGTGTGTGTGTGTGTGTGTGTGTGTGATGTGTTGCACTGGGGATCAAACCCAAGGCCTTGTGCATGCTAGGCAAGGGCTCTACCATTATGCAACACTGCACTACCCCTCCCCCACCAGGCCTGACAATTTTACACTTTCTATAAATACCAAAACAGAAAAAAAAAAAAGAAAACCAGTCACTCAGTATGCTTTGGTTTTTGTTTTTTTAACCTACAGTATCCAGGTAGAGATAAACTCACAAATGAATATTAAACTTAACTGTTACCACCAATACAGACTTCCTCCAGAGCATTCCACCACTTTCCCCTACAAGTGTAACTGTCCAGTCAGCCTTCCAGGTTTAAACCTTTGCCTCACTACTTCCTTAATTATGTGACTTTGAACAAGTTGCTCACATCCATAAAGTTTTACTTTTGACAAACATCTACAGGTGGTGGCAGCAAAGGCCTCAGTTCTCCCCAAAGTTTTCATGAAATGAGCTTTTTTTTTTTTTCACTTTCAAAGTGAAGGTCATTCTTCCACCTTTTGTCTTCAAACAACACTGTCATCAAAACTGTCTTAACGTCGACATTCATTCCCTCATTCAAGGATGTCCAAAGGTTCCAAACTGTGTCAGTCTATGAAAACATCATCTAAGAATCAGTCTGAGAACATTGCAGTGATGGAACTGCAATGACTTTGGGTTGTTCTTGATCTAAGAAGCTAAGGCTTCTCAATAATTCCTGGCTTCTGAGCAATATTTACGTTACTTTCTGTAGAGAACTATTATGTTCAGGATTTCCACTTTCAATCATGTTTTAGAAACTTTTATTAAAAAAAAATCACATTCCAAAAGCCAGCATCACTAAATTAAGAGACTCAACCCTGTAAATAACCATCCCCCCATGTGATCTTAGACACTCATAAATTTGCAAGCTCTTCCTGAAAATCAGAGGGCTGGACATCCAGTTAATCTCTGATTCCTTATCTTAAAACTGGGTAGCATCACTTGGTTTATCCTTATCTAAATACATTTTTTAAGAATTTTTCAACAAAGGAAAGAATAAAAGCCTTGGATTAGCAGGCAGACAGTAAAGTTTACAGTAAATAAGATGCTGAACTTGCTTCTTTCCTTATTCATCCCCTATCCATTTCTCCATGTCCTGAGCTTCCAAAATAATTATCTTTTATATCCATCCATGAGATGCTCTTTCATTTGGCCCCCTCCTAATAAGCAATTATCATAAAACTTACAATTAGAAAGACTCTAATAGATCAGCAAATTCAATGTCTTCATTTTAAAGGTTAAAAAACAAACAAACAAGGTTGTGACTTATCCCAAATGATACACAATTTATTTACTATGAGATAAATCAAGCAAATATTTTCATCCTAGTTTTTTCTACATGACCAAGAGAAGAAAAGTAACTTCCAAGGATCCCTAAAAATAACAGGGATAGAATTTGAATTCCAGGCTCATTCATGGCTATCCTAAGGCTTAATCAATATAATGTACATTTAAATCTCACAAGTTACTTTAAAATGTAAGCCCCTCAAAGATGGAATATCTTTGCTTTATTCACTAAAGTCCCCCAAGTGCGGAGAAAATGGCCTGGAATAGAGCAGGCCTCTACCAAATATTTGCTGAGTGAACGCAGGTTGTTAAAACATCACTATCAATGTATGCTCTAACTTGGTTTCTACATTCATAAGGAAAGTATTTACCATAAATCTCTCTTATTCAGTTACTAACAGTCATACATACATAAAACTCACAAAGAATTTTATTCATTGACAAATAGATGTTTTTACAGAATAGGTGAGTTGCATTTTTTCCAAAAAAAATTTAGTTCATAAATATTTCAAAAAGAAAAACAGAAAAATTACAAATCAGCAATAGACTCGGCATGGTGTTGGATGTTACAGCCATTTTTGGCTTCCCTGGCCTAAAAATAAAGGACAGCATCCATCATTTATTATCCCTCATTGGCAAAACAACAATAAAGTCAGGAAACAAAAATCAGGAGTTTAAGAATCAGCAAAAAAAAAAAAATCAAGTAATGGTTTAATTTTGTCTTTGCTCACTTTTTGTTAATATTTGAAGATCTTCAACAGATGGTGGTCCATTTTTTTTCTCATAAGGAATGACTGTTGTCAAATACTGCCAAATTAAAAAAAAAAATCATTTAAGTCTGAATTAATTTACCTGCAAAAAAAACTGACAGTTACTAGGAGGTCAATTTTATAACATGAAACTACTTTGTTAATGAAAACACAGGCAAGTATAGCAAAGAGTATCTTACTCTTTCAGCTGGAGCTCATTTTTCTGCCCAATTCTATCTATTTGCTTTATTCAAGCCTTGTGTCAACGTAAATAACAACTTTTTTGTATTTCAGTTATGGAAAATTTCACAGGACTAGCTCTGAGGATGATTTGCTCAATTTGTTTATTTTTAAAGTGAAGTTTTATCTAACAGTCTTGCATGTTGTTCAACATATTTAAAAAACAGTAATTAAACTACTAACAGTTTTAACAGCTCTATACAAAAAAATAACTTTCAACAGCTAAATAATTCTATTTCAGACCATTCTTACACAAAACACAATAGTCAACATAAATAATATGACAACTTTTAAAAAAAAAACACATACCAGCTTCTTCCAGATTATAACAAAGACATGCTTACCAAACAATTTCAGAAGCATATAATTATTATTATTATTTTAAATTACTGTGTGGGCAGTTATAAATGGCTTTAGATATTAGAGATAAGTGAAAGGAAATAATGCCCTAAGGGGGAATGAGAAATAAAACTTTATGTTTTTACTTGAGGTAATAGTTCACTACCTACAAAGGTTCACAAGTATCACAGTTGTGTCCTAAAACTACATCCCATGAAAGCATAATCTAAAAAAGGTCCAGATTCTGCTAAAAATGCCCTAAATCTCAGCTCTATTACTAATCCTTATTAAGTGATTTTATCACACCCATAATTGAAAAACAAGATAAAGTTGTTTAACAGTAACTGGACCCCTATGTCCAGAAAAACAGCAACCTTTAAGAAACTTGGTGTTCCACCATCTTTCTGGAATAGACTTCTGTAAGGTGAGGCTCAAGTGTATAACCAAATGTTTGTTAAAGATGCCCAAGAAAGCCAGAAACATGCTCCCTGGGCCTTCACTTACAGTACAGGTGTAAAATAACTTAAAAGAAACATCAGGAATAGTTGGCTATGTTTTTAGACCTTCCCACCACACTCCCATGTGGTGAGTCAGTTTGGAAGTTATTTTTCCACCTTGTAGGTTGAGAGAGGTGAGTGGCACACAATAAAAACTAAAATGCAGCCATCCCCTCATGGAGCCTCTTATGAGCCAAGAATGTCAGTGTGAACCTGCCCTCTTCAATGTTGAGTTGTTTCCTTTTTGCATAACACCTAAGAACCTCACTTGGCAGACAAATGAAACGACCTACTACATACTACACCTTAAAAACACATGAATTTCATTTAAAGGAGATAAAATATATTCCCTACATAGTTTTGACTACAGTTCTAGTCTCAAAGATATAAACATCTGGCTTTCTTCCCCCCAAAATCTTATCTCTTATATTTTTAGAATTAGAGAAGCATATTCTAGTTCATTTATTTTCAGATTTTTCTGAACATGCAATTTGTTATGTCAATATGTTAACACCTATTTGTTTAAAAGTAGACATGAGAAATGAACAATAGAATGAGTTTCATCTATTGTTCAATATGGAACATGCTTTTTTCCCAAAGGGAAATTCTGTTCATTATCAAGACTATAAATATAATGAATTTTCATTTACCTCTTGTTAGCAATGGTCTTAGTAAATTAGTAAAAGTGCCAGATTTCAGGATCTTAAACAGAAAATGAAAAAGCAAAGCATAAGGAAAATAAGGATAACAGAGCACCTGTTTCTCTCCACCTGAATTTCCAAAGGTGTGGCGGAGGCCATTCTGAATGACATTTGAGATCCCTTCCATGCTGAAGCGCTAATGGTAGCAATGTACGGCCCAGAAGAAAAGGACAGAGAAAGAAGTTCAAAGACTATTAGTAAGAATGTACCATGATGACTTATGTGCCCAAGAGGCAAGCAGTTAGAAAATGCCACAACTACTCATTCAAATAAAGCAACAAAATCATGCTGTTTTAAAAACACTTTTGCTTCCATTCATGTGCAAGTCAAATACAGACGCAACTGCTTTTATGCTACTATATTCATAAAGATTTTCCTGATGTAGCTGATAGATTTGTTCTAATGTAAACCTTACCAGTTGTATACAGTTTTATACAAAATTTACCACACAATTTTGATACACCTTTTGATACACCTTTTGATACTGTTTACCTACATTTTATCAAAAGTCTGAAAACTTAATACTAACAGTATGCACATTTTCAGCTTAAGTTTGTATATTTCTACCATCAGTTTGGAGAACATTAAACTAACATTTGGCAAGTGAAAATGCTGTTACTTTGAAGAGCCAATTGTTGCTTCCCACTCACTCTCCAGGCACCTGCCACTGCCTTCGTGAAGAAAATGCAAATTGGAAGATGGCATATGCTTCCTGTGGAGCATAGTGGATCCCATTTGCCAGCTGAGCCTCCAAAAACTTCTGCAAAGAATTCCCACTCCGTTTCTAAGAAACAAGTCTAGCTTCTTTCTCCCAGCAACCTACGAAACTTCCTAGAATTCATTGCACTAAAAAGGGAACACTTTTTCCTAAACTACTTATCTTGATTTGCAACAAGACTCCAATGTCATCAGGCACAAAAAAGAGTCCAGTGGCACCTCTATGGCAGCTGACTCAAAGGCATTAAAGAGATTCTTATGTCATGACTAATTAAGGGGAAAGGCATCCTGAAAAGGAAGTTGCAGTCTGATTCACAGGATGGTTCCTTTCCCTGGAATTTCTGGGGGAAAGCTGAACTAGTAAGTACATCTGAAGTGTCAAGATAAAAAACAAAGTACCGGGCCCCAAGGAGTAGAAGAAAGGAAACCAAGGCAGTGGTCTCTGCCCTCAAGAAATGCATATGTTAGTCTAAGGATTCTCCAAGTGTGATCCACAGACACTCCTGAAATCTTCTCAGAGGTCCATAAGCTCAAAATTATTTTTTAATACTAAGATACAATTTGTCTTTTCACTCTCGAGCTCTCAATTTATGGTGAAATATTCCAAATGACAGATTAAATGCACAACCAGATCTGAGAATCTAGTTGCCTTCAATTAAGCCAGACATCAACAAGACTGATAAAAATATAACAATGACATTTTTCCCACTAACATTTTTTAAATATAGTCATCTTTCACAAAAACCTACTAATTATATAATTACTTATTTATTTTTGGCATTTTAATGAATTAACATTTTATTAACATTTAATTTTATCAGTTTTAATTTCTAATATACTAAATGTTAATCAATATAGTATATAAAAAAGTAAATTTCTCTGAGGCCCTCAATACATTTTAAGAGTGTAAAAAAGTCCTGACAACAAAAAGTGAGGAAATGCCAAAAGGTTTAATCCTTGATGGAGCTTGCTAGGTTATCAGCCACATAACTCAATATCATCTCTGGAAATCTAAGTGCCATACATGACCATCTTGTAGGAGATTGTAAACTATCCTCTCCTCTTGCATCATTCTTCTTCCTTACCTCCTCTCTCATAGATCCAGATCTGCACATCAATTTTGTCTTAGCACAAATCAAATGTGTGGTCAAGATCTTCAACTGTTCTTCACTTTGCTGAGAGCATAACTATTCTTTAGATGGAAGAAGTTAGGTTTGCAAGATAAACCTACAGCAGACAGCTGTTTTTGTAGATTTTCACATGCTATTGTATAATTTGTTCACACTTTTTAAAACGGATTATCCAAAGACATGACAGGTTCCAGAGTATGCACTTAAAGTTATAGGAAATCTTTTCAAGTAAACAAGTCAATTCATTTTTTTTAATTCTATCAAATACATCTCCTTTGAAAGGCAGGAAAAAGAAAATACTTATTTTCCCTCTAGACTACTTGGTGCCATTGTCTAGGAGCATGTTAAAGTTAGACATAAATTCAGAAAATATCAAGCAGGGGGAAACTAAGATACACTTCACATTTGGAAGGCACATTCCAAAAACACTAGCTTTACTTTTCCAGTTGAAAGCCTAATTACTATCACTGCAAAAAAAAGAAAGGAAAAGAAAAAAGGTCAATGTAAATTTTTAAATTCCTCAGATGTATATGTGATTTTGTTTTTCTTTATTAAATGTGCAGCTGTGAGCATTGCTAAGCCATTTAAACTACTAGAAACCTGACTAGTTGCAAGAGAAGACTTTCATGCAATCAGAATGCTAGACTTAGTAGAAATCAATAAAAAATGCAACCATGGGAAGCCAAGCCAACTTAGAAAAATAGAAACCTAATGGCTGATGCTCGTGAAAGAAGTTCAAGCACAGACCTCTCAGCAGAACCTCTGGTCTTGCTGAAGATGATGGCTGAGTCAGCAGCTGCAGAACAGCAAGGCCCGTCCTGCTCCTGCCATTTACTGGCCAATGAATGAACCAGGGAAGGAATGTGGCAGCCAGCAAGGTTCTATTGCTTATTGTTCCACTAGGAAATTTCAGAACCAGAAAATCAGAAAGTTCTATGGGCAAAAAAAAGAAATGCAAAGAAGCCAACTAACAGATATAAGCTGAGAACATTCCTCCACCCAATGCTCTGGTTGCCATGAACTCCCACCCCCCAGAAACCACACAGTAACCATCTAAGTTCTCAAACTCTCCTTCTCTACTGGCTCTTTCCCAATGGCAACTTTAAATTCTCAAATACTCAAACTATTTACTCTCCCCAGTTTTCTGAAACAGCTCTCCCCATTGTCACTTCTTTGACACTCAAATTCAGACACTGCAGATCTCTCTGAGACATCCTGGAATTCCCCACCCCAGACCTTTTCCCTAGATTCTTAACAAGGGGACACTCTCACAAATGTCCCCTGCCCCTGCCCAGTGTTCCCCAGAATTCTGTCCCTCTTTTGTCTCATGTACATTCTCTAGACATTACTAGTCAAAACTTTCAACTTCTGCCCCGTCACCCATTGCCTCACTTTCCTTAGTTCAGCAAAGTGCAATGACCACAATGTAAACACTACCCAATCATGACACTACTGATATTTTGAGTCGAGTAATTATTTGTGATGAAGGCAGATCTGCAAGTGTAGAATGTTTACACCACCTCTGGCCTCTACTCAACAGGATGCCAGAAGCACAGGCTCCACCTTCCCCTCCCCACCTAGTTGTGACAATGGCAAATGTTTTTAGTTATTGACTAATACCCTGTGGGGAGGCAAAACTGGCCTGGTTGAGAATCACTACACTAAACTACACTAGCTGGTTTTTCATCCCCATCCATGCCCTTGGAGAGATGAAATTCATACTGAAAACATTTAAACGTTTGTATAGTAGACATAGAAAAGATACGATTTATTTTTTTTTTTAATGACTAAATCTAGCCTCAAGCGCTGAGACTCAAGTGATCCTTCCGCCTCAGTCTCCTGAGTAGTTGGGACTCTACATGCATACTATCATGCCAAGTCAATCAAGACAGGTTCAGGGGGAGTTAGCTTATGTTGTTGCAGTTGCTGTTGATTTAGTTTTTTGAGAGAGGGTCTCACTGGGTAGCCCAGGCTGGCATGGAACTTGCTATGTCGCCCAGGATAGCTTTGAACTCACAATCCTCCTATCTCTGCCTCCCAAGTGCTGGGATTATAATTGTACACCACCAGGTCCAGCTCAAGGTATTTTTAATGGTGGCTAGAGGGCACAAGGTCTAAAGAAATACAGAGAGAGAAAAAAGAAAGTTTTGTTTAGGTTACTTTTTCATAAATTCAAGTCAGTTCTCAAAATCTTTAAGGATAGAAATAAGGACAGATTAGATACTTCTTTTGCATGTTCCACAAAGTACAAACCAGTTCTCAGTACCTCAGAAGGCATCTGACAAATGATTTTAACTACAAAACTCTTCTGCAATTACTACCCAGATCAGTAAAATACCTGCAGTTTTATATGAAACCAGGAATCACACATGAGTAAAAGTATTTGAAATCAAAATTTTATAAGTTAACTTGGACAGAAAAATGCTGAACTAAAAAAAAGAAATCCGGCTCTCTCCCAGCTCCATATATGAGTGATGTTCTCTCACCAGCAGAGGTCTGAGCCCTCACCATGAAGGATGATGGCTAAGCAATATTGCTTTTAAAGGGCTTACTTACAAATTCTGTGGATCTATGAATTACCTCAACCAAAAGATACATGGCTTTTTTAAGAAGGACATCAAAACCACACACAGAAACACACACACACACAGCAATACAGGACTAAAAGATCACATGAGGCTGTAAGTGCTCCAGGATGGCAGACCTGTGTGGCCAGAGCTGTCTAGTCTAATGGCTCTATTCTGAGGAGAAAGACTAGATCTTGTCCATCTCTCCATTCCAGTTAGTGACCTGCACAGGACCAGAGGATAGCAAGCACTCTGCTAAGCTAAAGTTGTAACACTTGTAGCACCAGAACCCCAGAGTCTTAGAGATGGGCATATTTTAGTCATATCATGAGGCTTCTGGATTTCTTGCAAGAAAAAAGGGGGAAAAAAGGGGGCAAATGGGAAAAATAATCTATGTATGAACAGAGAACAATGACAGAACAGGACATAAAGTTACTGGTCAAAAGAGCTAGCAACAGAGTTCTGAAAGATTCCACTGAAGAATCCAGTCTAGGAAACCAAAACAGGATTAGCAAAGTAAAATGAAATAATCTTATTGACATGGCTTATAAAACCCCTAGGATAGAGGACCAGTAGACGATCAATGAACAAGAAGGATAAACGAATAAAGATATACGAAATAGAACAATGAAATCTCACAATTGCTTTAAATGGGGCGGGAAGGGAGCTGAGGGGGAGAGATGGTGGGAGTGATCTAACCAATATACAATATAAGCCTGTTT